GGGGGGGAGAGATGGTGGATGGATGGAGAGAGAGATAGAGAGAGAGAGAGAGAGGGAGAGAGAGAGAGAGAGAGAGAGAGAGAGAGAGAGAGAGAGAGAGAGTAGCAGGGCGACCCTTATTTTGCCTGTACTGGACCCATAAAGTGGTTTTATACATTCATTATTCACGTGCGTTATGCCGGGGGATGTGGGTTTTATACATTCATTATTCAGGTGCGTTATGCGGGATGTAGGTTTTATACATTCATTATTCGAGTGCGTTATGTGGGGGCATGATAGCGTCATGACGGTAGACCTTATGATGAATCTATACAACGGATCTTTCCGGTCTGGTACAGGCAAAATGAGGGTCATGAACACCGCAACCGTGTGTTATGTTCAAGGACGACGGTAGCTATGGATGCCTTTCTCTCTGTCTCTCTCTTTCTCTCTCTCTCTCTCTCTCTCTCTCTCTCTGACTAGCTCCATACCTGGTCGATTTCATATTGCCACCATCTGTCCTTAGTTCGATCTACCGGTTGCACAACATATCCGTCCTTCCTCTGTCAAATGTGACTCCCTGCTGTAGTATGTCTCGTCCGATTCTCCCGCTGTTACTGCGTTTTCCCCTTTCATTTCATACTTAGATGTGACTCTGCCATCTCTTACCCACCTCTTCTTCTTCCTTCCACGGTCTCCCCACCTTTCCTTCTTCCGACCCTGTGTATCCTTCCCATCCCTTCTCTCCGCGTGTGGCGGCCTGCCTAAAAAACCTCTGATTCACCATGTTTGGCCATGCCGCTGCCACTCCCGATTCTACCACTCTCTCCCATCCTCTGTGCATCCCATCCTCCTTTCTCTCCGTGGGTCTCGGCATTCCCACAATAGAAAACTGAACCCCAAAAAAATTCAAAAAATTCAAAAAAACACAATAGAAAACCGAATTCAAAAAAAAATAAAAAAACAGAAAGGCAGAAAGGGCATAGATAACAAAAAGCCCTCGCCCATTTATTGGCACTTCATTCCTTTTTTCCCTCCCACGCATGTCCTGATTCGCGCCCGTCGCTACTTTTTCCCGACCAGCACAATAGAGATTACTTTGGCCTACAACTCCGAACAGTAAAACTAAATCCCAAACTTATCCTACAGATACCTTTATAAAGTACACGGCCCTTTAAGGACCTACTCTTGCACCCCCCTCTGGCCCATATACTTAATAAGTCTGGGGTACTCCATGGGGAGATAAACCCCCCACCGACCTCCGGACATCCTTGCGAACTTCGCCAGGGCCCCGAAAGAGACCTCCGGGGTGTACCCCCGGAGGCACGTCTCCATCATCAATGCTGCGATCGCAGCCATCATTGCTTCATCAGAGGTTGAGATCCGATTCATTCTGACCAGTGAGGCATACACAGTTGCCTTCTTGGACGTCTTCCTTGTGAATGAGGCGAAATCTTGCGTGGATTGTATCCTTAACCTCTCCTCGTCAAGCAGACACATTTGATTCCTTGTCTTGAGGTGTACACTGATCCTCATTGACTCAAATTCAACGAAAATCCAAGCACCCAGGAAATCAAAAACATTGCCTTCATCATCCTTACGGACCAGTTTTAAATTCTTGTCATAGCACTTCTCAAATTCTCCAAGTGTCATTTCTGCCCTCGCCCTCGTCTCCCGTTTTCCCAACTCAAAACCAGTCATTATCGCCACATCGTCTATCATCCTTATCCCTTTCACGATCATCCCCCTCTCTCTCATTCATTCTAAAAATCTTGATTCAGCTTCTGCGCAGACCAAACATGCCAGTGTTGGACTGGAATTCCGATCCATGGGAATATTGAATCTTTGCAACAATATCACACCAGCACACCTAACATACGAATGGGAAAGCTCAAATGCCACCTCCTTCCTAATCTCATCAAATGAAAGGGTAACGAAGCCTTCCTCCTTCAAAATTCTCTTTACCATGGCACACAGTTTCCCTCTCTGACTAACCCGCACGCCTTTCATTCCTGTTCTCTCATGCCAGTTCGTCACCCACTCGACTGCTTCCAGAATGCATTCGTGCGATAGTCGCGCGAACATGTTATTAATATCATAACTCCTCGCGATAATCTCGTCCCCTCTCATGCTCAGATCCTGCTGGATTTCCTCACATCTTACCTTCAACTCATCCATAGACTTCAAGTCAAAATGTTCTGTCTTTCTAATCCCGAAGAGCATATACCTAATAGCCCTCCCCACTCTGGCTCCCGCTAGTCTTGCTGGATCAGTAGTACTTGGAGAGATCGGTCGCCATCTACCCAAATCCTAATCTTTGGGTAGAACGTAGGCTTGACCAATCTTTCCCCCGGTTTGCCACCTAGCCACCTTGCTCAATCCTTTGCCCAAGAACCCCGTCTTTATCCTGGCTATAGCCTGATTCTCCGGTTCATGTACTACTCGAAAACTCTGACTCCAGTTAAAGGTTTCCTTGCAGGCTTGCAAATACAACACAAGGCATACCAGCAAAGTGTCCCCTGGATTCCGATCGATCGGAACGGCTACCAAATCGCTATACCTCTTAAAACACATTCTGACCTCATTCGTTGTCATCGCCATTTCCGCCATGTCACTCCTTCTCCCATAGCACTCACTGATATCCCCGTAAGGCACATCGGTATCTCTTCCGCTCACCCACCCATTCACGCCTTCTCTTATGCATGTCTCTAGTACCTCTGGAGAGATAACACTCCCGCTTGTCACGTTCTTCGAATTACGCATAAACTCCGGGACGTCCTTCACATCGCATACTCGTAGCTTAACGTGTCCTTCGCTTCTCGGAAGGTGAAACCCATCGCAGGTACATAATGCCACGTCGTTCTCTGCGCATTTCCACTGATTATGGATTATGCTCCCAACGGTAAGCCTCCTTCTCACTACGACCCTTTCCCTCGTTGCTACGAACTTGGCCACATCCGGGTCTGCCATAGCTCGTACAATCAACTGCGCTGCCACTCGTCTAATGACTCCCAACTTCAGCTCCGGGGAAAACGGCACCTTCACACATGGTCTCCTTCTAATCTCGCTTCCGTACTTACCCTTCACCACCCTATATAGGATGCATTTGATCTGATTTCGGCTCTTTTTCTCCGAAAACAGTGTTGCAGTCCTGTATAAAGCGACGAGTTCCCTGAAGCTCTTCTTATACAGCTCGCGCACCGTCCATCGCTGCCTCAGGACATCCCTGAGCACAAACTTCCGATCCTCGATTTCTGACGACATAAACCTGATGGCCCTTACCTGAAACATCCCACCCTTTTCCATTACCTGCTTGCATTCCTCGATCGACTTAAATTCCTGCCCAACCACCAAAGTAGTCTCTCCTACTTTCCCTCGAATTACCTTCCACTTGTCCATCCAAATCGACCCTCCTGTCGACGAGATCTGTTGAATACCCATTCTCCCCTTCATCTCCTGGAGTAGATCAATCAGTGATGCGCGTCCATTGAACTTTATCAATCGTCCTCCTAACACATTCACCTTCCTTCTCCCTCTTTCTCTCTTCCCCGGCCTCTTTCTCACCCGTCTCCCTTCCTTCCTCATGCCATGAGTGTTCAAAGATGGTGAGTACTTCTTTATTAACGATGACTCTACTACCCCCGGATCCCCAATTCCGCTAACCACGGGAATCGCCATATACTTTTGCCATCCAAAGATTCGCAACCACGCGTGTAGCTTAGGAGCGTTTCCCAAATCACCGTTAATTGGCCGTTTCACATGATCTGACCATCTTATTATCACTGCCCGTGTGGTAGAGCCAATATAAAAGTGACGGCATCATGGGCTAACCAAGACGTACACTCCTGAATTCGTCGTCGACATATCCCCGTCATTACTACTTACCATCCCTGCCCACTTTCTGGCCCACAAACATTCCCCCCTAATCACACAGAATAAGAAGAGTCTGAAAATCTAGTCTTTGTCGTGAGTGGTGAGACCCTTCCTCCGTCCATTGACTACTTCCCCCCTCGCCATCATTTCCCTCTTCAATACATCCATACTTACCCTTGTTACCTTTCAAACAAAGGTGATATGCGGCCATTTTCGACAAACTCCCCGTATGCCAACTTCGCCTTGCACTTTACCAACTCGCCGATGACCGTATCTTTCTTCGACCATTCAATCCCCTCCCTATTGCACAGCTTCCGTAATTCCGGCACCTTCTTCTCAGATAAGTGCCTGTGCAGTTCAATCGCGAAGTCCAGGATTCCAGGATTCGCCATATCTTCGTCCTCTGTTGTCCTCACCAATGGTGGTGTCCGTTCTTCCTCTTCATCAATTCTTATCGGGTTCGCCTTGTGTCCTCTCCTTTGGATACTCAACACTCTCCCTTCTTTCTCATTAATCTTCTTCTTTCCTTTCCTCCTCCCGATTGCTTCAATAAGTTTTCCCGCCTCCTCTTTTACTTTTTCGCTCTCATCGTCGGATTCGTCCAGATAACTCCTTATCTCCCGTAATACCCTTGCCTTGGTTTTCGACGATTTCTTCTTCACCCCAGAGCTCTCTAGCTTCGTACCTCCTTTCGAGTGTTGAGCGAGTAATCTAACCAATCTTGCCTCTAGTCTTGCCTCCTTTGCTTCCGCCTCCCTCAACCGTTCCTGCTCCTTGCGATCCTCTTCCTCCCTCCGACGTCTTTCCTTTTCTTCCATTTCCCTTCTCTCCTCATCCATTCTCCACTTCGTGATCTTTTCACGAAAGTACTCACGCATCTCCCTTGTTTCGCCATCCACCATCCCCTCCGATTGAGCACGCTGTCTCGATACCATAGGTCTCCCGTTTCCCGCGGTCCAACAGTTCCGGGCATAATGCCCAACTTTCCCGCACAAGTAACATGATACAACGCCCTGCTGATTACCGCCAACACCAGGTCCCCCATTCCCATAACCCTGTAACTGCGGAACCCCTTGGTTCTGCATTGTCCCTACCTCCCTGCCCTTCTCCTCGACTGTCTCCTCCTTCTTCTTCTCCTATCCCTAACAACGCACCCGACACTGTATAGTCTCCCCAGAAACCTTTCAAGTATACAAACTAATTCCTCCTTAGTACTATCGTCTCTAAATTTTAATGCCACGAAAATCGACGGAACAACTTTATCATATACTAAGTTTTCCAGATCTTGCCACAACCTATCAAGCTCAGCCTCCCTAAAATTACGGTCTGTCATCCCCTTAATTTTCTCTATATGTAACCAGGATGCGCACCTCGAATATCCACACACTGCCGCTATTCCTTCTTACACACTCGCGGATGGTTGTGGCCCCATACACATCAAGTACAACCAAAAGGCCATGGACTACCACCTTCCTTACCTCCGCAGATTTCCACTTTACCATATCCGCCCTGCTCTCATTGGGCACAAAGGCGAGAGATGGAGTCGATCACGCTCCCCTCCTCGCAAAGAAAATTGAAGACGACTATGGCAGATGATCACGCTTCAAGTCCTTCAGCAGAGTTTAGCCCACCGCGTAGCCACCGTGACATGTCACCCACGACCGGTTACCACGTTTGCAGAGAATAGAGAGCAAACAAACGCAACAATGGAGCCAAAACACCACCTCAGTACCACACCTGACGCACGTGTATCCTGATCCTCGCCTTCGTTAAGTCACAAACAAACATCAACTGTACGCGTTTGCCTCTACGCGTTTCACCATTGGCATATACAACGGACTCATCAGGGGGCGATCCTCACTTCTCTCTCAAGCGTACTCGAACCGAGATACTTGTGCGTCGTCCTTCCCTCTTTATATACTATGTGCATCCTACTCCTTCCTCCTAATCTAGCCTACAGAACACACAACTTCGTCATCTACTACTCCCCTCCTCCCTCTCTCTGTACCCCGTAAATCTTCTAATCGCGCGCTGGATTTTTTCCTTCCTTCCCTCCTTTCTTCTTTTTTCTCTCCATTTCACTTTCTTCCATTTCTCCCTTCGACTTCCTTCTCTCCTTCCTTCATGCATCCTTACCCATCCGACTTCCTCGTCTCCTCTCCTTCCTTCTCCCTTCCACATTCTCCCTGTCAACTAGAGAGATTCGCTCCGGACCTGGTCGATTTCTTATTGCCACCATCTGTCTTTAGTTTCATCTACCGGTTGCACAACATATCCGTCCTTCCTCTGTCAAACGCGACTCCCTGCTGTAGTATGTCTCGTCCGATTCTCCCGCCGTTACTGCGTTTTCCCCTTTCATTCCATACTTAGATGTGACCATGCCATCTCTTACCCACCTCTTCTTCTTCCTTCCACGGTCTCCCCACCTTTCCTTCTTCCGACCCTGTGTATCCTTCCCATCCCTTCTCTCCGCGTGTGGCGGCCTGCCTAAAAAACCTCTGATTCACCATGTTTGGCCATGCCRCTGCCACTCYCGATTCTACCACTCTCTCCCATCCTCTGTGCATCCCATCCTCCTTTTTTCTCTCCGTGGGTCTCGGCACTCCCAGAAGAGAAAACCAAACCCGAAAAAAAATCAAAAAAATCAAAAAAACACAATAGAAAACCGAATTCAAAAAAAAAAAAAAAAATAGAAAGGCAGAAAGGGCATAGATAACAAAAAGCCCTCGCCCATTTCTTGGCACTTCATTCCTTTTTCCCTCCCACGCATGTCCTGATTCACGCCCTGAGCGAACTTCGCCAGGGCCCAGAGAGAGAGAGAGAGAGAGAGAGAGAGAGAGAGAGAGAGAGAACAGCATCCATCGCTGCTGCCCTCTCCCAACTTAACACACACGTAGGGTTCACGACCCTCATTTTGCCTGTATCGGACTCGAATGATCGTGTGTATACGACCATTATCAGGGGGTACAGTCGTCTCCCGAACATAGTACACACTAATAATGAATGTATGCAAGCTATCTTTCCGGTCCAGTACATGCTCTCTCTCTCGACACACACCCACACACACACACACACACACACACACACAGAGAGAGAGAGAGAGAGAGAGAGAGAGAGAGAGAATAGTGTGACCTCGTAGCACTCTCTCTCTCTCTCTCTCTCTCTCTCTCTCTCTCTCTCTCTCTCTCTCTCTCTCTGTGGGGAAAATTCGTGCCTGCCCCGAGTTATTAATTCGCCCATGCAGTCCACCGGGACTCCACTTGTAACGAAATTTGCAACCTCTCTGCGCGAGCTCCACAGGGCCGCGTGCAGAGTTGCTTTTTCTCGATGCTCGAATCTGGACTTGTCTATGCAGAAACGACGTTGAGTTTCCTGAACCCCATAACTCCACAAACACGTCCAGATACTCTACGGAGTCTACGCTGCATGTGGGACTTGCCCCTGGCAAGTGCTACTCTGTCCTCCGACCCAACTGAAATGGACGGCCCCCGTACCCGGAAAGGAACGGTCCTGAAAACAACAAAACTGCCCATTTTTAACTTGCCATCTGTCTGGAGCGCCGCCAGATGTTTGTTTTGCCTTTATGAACTGGGAACGACAGGGACCTGCCAAACTGTGTTTTGTTTGCCCATTCTGAACTACAAGTGTGACACAGGGATACTTGCCCCCTCCCCAAAAAAAGAGGTACTTGCCCCCCCCCAAAAAAAAGAGGTGGAGGCCGCCCTGTTAATCCGAGGATGTGAAAACATTGTCGAACGTGGCAGCGTGCGTGCAATTGGAGGTCTGAGAGTTCTTTTGAAAGTGAAAAGACGAGGAACCCGTACCTTGCACCGAAAAAGAAGGCAGCCTGGTTTTTTCTTTTCGTTCTGATGTGCAGGCCGTGGGATCCTGGAGACCCGCACAAGAAAGTGCCGCTTGATTCGTGAAACTACCACACATGGGGTTCATTTTGTCTTTTATGTTCCGTGCGGGCCGCCTCCACCTTTCGCGCTTCTTTTTCGTTCTTTTGAAAATGATGTCATGTGGGATCAGCCCCTAAGTGCTGTGTGATATGCTTTATAGCATTAAAAGATGACCTAAAAAACAAGAGAAATGCTACAAAAAGCTTTTGTACTTATTTAACGTTATTTTTAAAATATATCTGACGCAAGTGTGAGGGAAAGGAGCGGTGATAAGGGCACAGGCCATTTCTCTTTTCCGAAACGAATGTGGACAACGTCAATCGCTAGGCTGAGGGAATGATGATTCTGGGTTTACGTCCATGCACCTTCCACAACGGAATCGCTGTTCACTCGTTTAGGTTTTTTTCCCCCCACTCTTTTAGTTTTATGCCTGGACCCCACAGTAAAAGGATGAGTTTCGGGTTTCCGTGGAAGAGTGTTTGGAGGAGTTTTGCCTGCGGAATGAGGGGACCCCACTGGAGTGGCTGGAAAAGCCAGTTTCCATGAGCTTGGAAAGGCTGAAAACTGGAGATGGACTGGATGGTGGTTGCTGATGTCTGGCCTTGCGCCTGTTTCGGCTGTCCCCCCCTACTGGGCGACAACAGCATGTCTGTAGCCCTGTCCAGTGGAGCAGGGAACGGCTTCGGGCGGACAATGGATGGGCCTGTACGTTGGCGAGGAGTTTCCAACCATGGACATGCCCCCCCCCCCCCTCCCTCCCGCCCTACTTTCTGGAAAGGGCACAAAAATACGACGGAAACTTCTCCACAGCCACTTTTCCGACCGGAAACCGATGTGAAAACGAAAAATGTGGCTTTTCCAGATACCGTTTTCCAGGCTGTGGGGTCCCGAAAACCTCTCCGCGGTCCTGCAATCGGCTTACCAGAGGGCCTGCTTTGTCCGATGGACCGATGGTGTCCGAGATAAGCTTTTCCACGCCGGTTCTTCCACGTTTTTTCCTGTGGGGTCCAGGCCTTATGCTGCTTTTTTGTTTTTTTTTGTGTTTTTTTGAAAACCAGTCCTACCGCTAGGAGAGGTAAGAAGAGCACCCCCCCCTAGTGGGCTTCCTGGTTGCTCCAGTCTATTGGTGGGGAGCTGCACCTGCTGGAAACTGGGCCCAGCTTCTCATTATAGATCAAAAGTCTGAGGATGCTGTGCCGAGTGTCGACCTGCCAGCATTGATTGCCCTGGTCACTAGGGGATACAGCCATGGGTGTCAGGAGTTCCGAAAATGCCGCACCCTCCCGAGAGAGTTTTGAAAGTTTTTAGGGCTGAATCATAAGGGTTCAGCTCCATTCATCAAATATAAAATCTCTATTTGGACAAAATCTCCATTTAAACCACCAGTACTTGGCCCAGCTATCGGCTACTGACAAAAATAGAGTAGAAACATTTGTAGTTGGATGAATTTGGGCGCTCCTGCAGTGACCCATACGTTTCCTAAAATTGTAACTCGTTGGTGGGCACAACTTTAGGAAGCACTGGTGGTTTAACTCTCCAGCATCCATGCATGCGAAGTTGAAAAAAAAAAAAAAAAAAAAAAACAATCTCCAGCATGCATGTTCTCTGTCATCTGCAGAGGGGTGCGACTTGCGTGCAGCTTTAATGTCTGGCCTTAGATCTCTACAATCTGTATATATATACAAGGATTATGAGCGAGATGGATAGACAGAAAACAAGGTTGCAAAATCACGACATTGTGACGAGCTGCTTTCCGTAAACGCGCGACTCTCTGCGCGGCTGTACTTCGGGGGTTGATCGGGAAGGGCCCGCCCAATTACACGAATGCCCTCGTCTTTTGGAAAAAGGGTGGTCCCATGACGGTTGGTAATTGATCGCGCCTTAGCGAGCGCGGAAATAACTGTTGCCATAGCTTTCTTGTTCTCCTGTGAGGTTGGGAAATTTCGGTGTGATCGTCGCGCGGGGAATTTTTTTTGAATTTTTAACTGATGTCGACCCCACACGGGTTCTCGGAATTTCTTTTTGCAATTAGGACTTAAATCAGCCTAGGAATTTGGGTGCATCGTAATTCTGCCTGCAACTGCACGATGCTTCTTGCTTGCGTGCGCTTTGCCGCGCCAGGGTCTGTGCTCTGGCTCCTCCGCACCTTAATCCCACACGTAACTGTAATTATCTTCTTGGCAAGCGCAAATGTAACTGTAATCCTTTCTTTCTTGATATCTTCGTCGCGCGCATGCT